GCTAGTTTATAGATATCTAACTCTCATTCTTTGGTATTATATCGCTTATACATATCATCAAAAGCTACTAGCTTCACTTCTCTCACGGCTTTCTTTGCCTCATTCTTTGTTATTTTATACTTTCACAGTTTTCTTTGCTCTATCCTTGTATAAGGCTTTACAACATTTCTTCTTAGCCTTAATTTTTGTTTGTACCTCCTCCTTCCACCACACCTTTTGATGTGGAGCGAAACCCTCGGACTCTCTTAATACCCCTTTTGCCACTTTTCGGATACAACTAACTATGGAATCCCACATTTGGCTAGCATACCCCTCTGTATCTCAAACACATTGGGTGAGTACTTTATTTTTGGAAAAAAACTTGTTTTTCTCCTTTTAGATTCCACCATCTAGTCCTTAGTCCTTGGACACTTCAAGGTCTTGTTCCTTTTTCTATCTCTTTTTATATGTACATCCATCATCAACAAGCAATGTTGGTTAGCCAAGCTCTCTGCCGATATAACTTTGCAATCCTTACAAGTTATACAATCCTCCTTCCTCGTTAAAAGGAAAGCTATTTTTGTTTTCTATGACTCGTTCTTGCAGGTGCTCACATGCTTTACTCTCCTCTTAAAGAAAGTGTTGGCTAAAACGAGATCATATGCCATTGCAAAATCCAAGATAACTTTCCCATCCTCATTTCTCTCCCAAAAACCATGGCCACCATGAATACCTCTGTAGTTGCCTCTCTCTTTGCCCACATGTCCATTTAAATCTCCTCTTATGAATAACTTCTCCGTTTGAGAGATCCCTTGAACCAATTCTCCAAGATCTTCCTAAAGTTTCTCCTGCAAACTCATATCCAATCCAACTTGAGGTGCATACACACTAATCACATTGACGAGTTCTTATCCTATCACAATCTTGATTGCTATTTTATCCCCGTCCCTCTTAACATCTACAACATCTTATGTTAGGGTCTTGTCCGCAATGATGCCAACACCATTCCTCTTTCTATTTGTCCCGAATACCGAAACTTAAGACCTAAAGTTTCGAGATCCTTTGCCTCAAGACCAACCCACTTAGTTTCTTGGAGACACATAATGCTTATCCTTCTCCTAACCATAACTTCTACTATTTCCATAGATTTCCCATTAAGATTCCTATAATCCATGTTCCTAAACGTATTCTACTCTCTTGAACCCTACCCTCCTGTCCTAACTTGTTTACCCTTCCTCGTCTAGTAAGGCCAAAATACTTGTTTTGCATTCCTAGATAAAGTTGATGTGAGCATATGCTTCCAAACAACTTTTAGAGAGTCGTCCAAAAAGAAGTTTCTACGGCCCCCTTGGTCGTTTAAAAATGCATCCGGGTGTCGATGGAGATACACGCCACTTACAAATGACAACCTAGCTTTAGCGCAAATTCGTTTAGAATTCATATAAAAAATTAGCTAATATAGTGTTACATTTATTTATTATTAGGCCGCGTTGTGCACACTTCATGATCCCTGCATTAGGCATTATTGTAGGACAATACATTATAATTGACGTAGAACATTAGTGAATACACGAAATACCAGACGACGAACACTGGAAGGCAAACTGTATTTTATACCAAATTTATTCAAATTGTAGGCTCTTTATGTTAAACATTAAAGTTGATGTTTTGGAGAATCTAAATAGCCATGTATTTTTTGTCTTTTTTTTGTTTGTGCTGGCAGTGTCTAGAATTATCTTTTTGGGCATTATTTATTAGGTCCAGCTTTATTGTCTATGAGAGAAAAAAAAAAGAGGAGTCTTTAGAAAGAAACGAAAAGACACTAGTTGTGCCTTTCCTCCTCCCTGTACCAGATCTTTTTTGTGTGTGCAAAAAATAGAAGTTGGAGTTTTTATTCATCTTTTTAGCTTGTTCTTCTTTACATCTTTGTGTGTTGATCTTGGGCTAGTGTATTGTATTACACTATTGTTGTTGTTTACACTTTAAACATCATCCTTTTCATGATCCAACAGCACCCAAGAGCCATCATCCATTTGAACCATAGACTTGTTCTTTTCAGTCCACCATTTAACAATTACATTATATTCATCCTTTAGACCATCCAACTTTTTGTTTACTAATGCAATATCACGGTTGATTACCAATTGAAAACCATTTCGCCCTTGTGTTCCTGCAACTCCATGTAAGTAAATCTCCAAACGGTGCGCGTCTTTTTTTGCATTCTTCAAATAGGGCGACTTGAGGGTGTCAATTTTCAGCTCTTTTCCGACATCAACATACTTTTCTAACGGTGGTAAGTGAGGGACTATATCGTAGCTATTTGTGACTCGCAAAACGTGAAGATTTTTAAGACTTGAGAATACGTCGTGGAAACCTTGATCTCCAAGACGAGGGCTAGCAAACACAATGGATGTAACAAGACAGGCTTTGTCTGGACGGTCTGTAGGTTTGTTGTACCCATTACAAACTATGTCTGTAGCATTTAAAATTGCAAATGCACCGCCCATGCTGTGGCCACAAACAGTTATGCTGATTTCCTCATCCTTGTATTGATCCACCACTTCTTTAATTGCAGTCAAAACCTACAAAGTAATGTTGGAATGCAATCACAATATGAACGGATATAACGATAACAAAAGCGTTGTAACAACAGTAAACTCAATATAACAGTCAACATTATAACAATTTTATCTAACGATATAACAAAAAACAATATGATAAAACATGAACTAACAACTGATATTAACAAATTTGTGTAATATGAGTAGATAATACGAAAGTATGCATCACAGCAAAGCAGAACAATAGTGTTGAACGAGAGTTGCGAATATTGATGATTTGACAGTATATATGAAGAGAAAGAGGCTTGCATATTGTTACAATGTCCTTTATAAACCGAATTTCGCTTGTTCTCGAGTGCTTGTAGTTTGTTAGATGTTGTTCACGATCCATTATCCTATCGTATTTTGTTTCTGGATGTACAAATTACAATTTTCATACCAAGAGATGTCGTATGTGTGTATATATATGTGCAATAAAAGTTGAAACTAAGTATTGATCCAATAAATTATCATGCCATGAAATTTAAATTTAAAAGTTATTCCAATGAACTTGCATTCTAACAGATGCAAGAACCAAAGAAATAAGAAATCAAATTACAAGTGCTTTATTGATATAGAATCCTGCGATGTATTGGTGATGAGTAGTAAAGTCTTGTGCTATGAACGCATAAGCAGATAAAGAGTACATCTGTTGAGCAACCATGGACATAATAACCCCATAAATACAAAAATACAAATAAAAAAAAGTTACCTGTGCTCTACAACTAGTTTTACTGTATGGAGATTCAGGGTCGGCAGAATTGTAATAGGAATGAAAACCATGGTGCACCTTAGGATCATACTTGTCTCCCAGAATATCAGAAGCTGACACTAAATCAAACAGTAAGTCAACACCCCACTCTGCATCCAGTTCAGTTCCTCTCCATGTAACCAAAATGTCCCTCCTCCCTAACACCTCCTTTCCCTCATCCGTTGTCACCGCCACATAACCTAACCAGATCGATTTCCCGGGTAAAACTTCTGTTGCTGCATATATATATTTATTCACAGTGTACTTGTACGGATTAGAATTCTCCAAACCCACCTTAGAGAACAAATGTGTCTTTGTGTAACGGGGAAGTCCACAATTCTTCGATCTTGGATCACTGATGAAGGAGTCGCCAATGGCGGCAACTCTTTCGCCAGAGTGAAGGATACAGCGACGGAGATCAATGTCGAGAGGGTCAAGTAGACCCTCCCAATCAGTTTCGCCACCAAGAAGCCTCCACCTTGTTGCTATGGTATCCATGATCTCCTTCCCTCTTGCCTAACAGACTAACTCAAAATCGATAGATATTTTAATTGCTTAGTTATAGCCAACTTGGAATTAGGATTGATATTCTTGCACGCTTAACCAACTCTAAGGAATTGGTCATGCATGCTTGTGTCATGACTCCTGTACTATCCGTGCTCCAACCTCATACTTCACGATTCATTTTTGCTTATGTTTTTCATACTCTTATATATAAAAAATTTCTAAGTTATTACGTCAATGTGCCCACTTAATATTACGGTCTAGTGGTATCTCTTCACTTGTAAGTTAGAGGTTTTAGGTTTGATTTTCGCCAATTTGAACCACATTATTACTAGTACATTGTGAGACTTAGCCCACTCTCCCAAAATAATATCGTTTGTTAAAAAAGTAGGCCGTTGTGAATTTTTTTTTTCTTCCAAAACAATGACTGACGTAAGGAGTTTATTACTCAATTGATTAAGATCACTCACCCTTACATTTGATGTAACCTCTCCTCCCCAGTATTTTGCATATAAAAGAAAAGTAAAAACAATGATTGGTAAATATAAACAGGCACACACGTATTCAACTATTTTGTTTTTATATTTATGAAGTGCCAATAACAGCTCTCATGCAAGCATAGAGAATTAAAAACTAAAAGAAATTATATAACATTGTAGACCAATTGGGCTAAAACTAAGAGGGCAATCTAAACCAACAACGCTCTCCACTTTGCGACAACGTTTATTGTACGCAACCTTACGCTTACTTTGCAAATAAGCTATTTTCACAACTTAAACTCATGACCTTTCAATCACAAATAAGCAACATCTCCATTGTGTTAAGGCTCGCTCCCACCAATTGGGCTAACGCTAAGAAAAACAAAAAAACAAAAGCAAATAAAGTCGTGCCAAAACCACCATGTCATTGGACGAGGAGCTAAGATTAAATTATTCAAATGTTATGTTTGTATGCCCCCTACATATGGTGAGCCTTATGGATCCAGTTCCGAGCTCAACGTCATCATATAATCACTATAATCACTTTAATGTCATGTTTAGTTATATAAGCGTGCTACATACTAGCGCTACACGAGTCAATATAATTGATTTAGGGATTTTCAACTCGAAGAAGCAGAAACTTTTTTTTTAGGATGTTCCCGAAGGGACAAACGGACACTTTGACTGTGAATTCTTTTTAAATAAACAGTGTATCTAATAACTAATCACTATTCATCAAACATATGTTACAGTTCGGATATAAGTTGAATCATATACATACATTTCAACGACACACACAGCACTTCTCAAGCATCATCACTATACCAGGAACTATCATCCAAGGTCTTGAATGATCATATAATACGGCTTGGTGATACATTTAGAATCATAGACTACGTACAAGTACAAACGGAGACACAAGGATACCACAAATAATAGTGAGCGGAATCAATTATAGTTCCCTTCATAACCTCGGAGGTTTTTCCTTCACGAAAGCTACATCACCACTCGGTACATTCAGGAGATGATGATTTGGCCCCTCCTCACTTGCTGCTGTTCCAGATGATACAATAGATTCTGATCCGTCGTCACCGTCCTCGTCTGTATACAGTAAAGGGGAAAAAAGTTTATGCAAGCACATCACAACATATGTCAAGTTCCCAAACCCCCCATCTCTAGCATATGCATCATACATCCTCGTCTGTATACACACACGATTCAAATCCTTTTCAATAAACAATTAAAGCTACACGAAGGACATGAACTAATTCAAATTGTAAACCGAGATTCTAAGAATCGATGGGAAAACCTGCATGGCAGGATCCGGTAAATACCATCAGACATCCACGACAAATATCTTAACCCACCTAAGTTCCTAAATTTAGATCGATTCTCAACCATCAACCAGAGTGATGATTCAACCTATTCTGTTTCTTTCCAGAAGAAAAAAAAAAGAAGAAAAAGGATAAATGATTCTATTTTATTCCTTCAACTGAACTTTATTCTCACAAACGCAATCAAAAAGCAAGGCAAATCCATGGTCACAAGTCATGGTATGAAAAAGATAACAATAAAAAACACATTCGGTGTTCTAACTAAATGTCATGTTTATGGAACAGAAAAAACACACATTTGTACACCATGAGGTGGTGCACCATTCATGGGTTGAAACCACATTTTGTTTTACTTTGTAGGGAACACAAAAGCGACCTATTGTATCGTATCAACTTTCTCCCTCTTACCCTCTCTTAGATAAAAATCTGTGCGCACAAGCTTCCCTTTTGTCTCTCTCTCTTCTCCATGTCCCTAAACTTCTCCATCATATTAACAAGCTGGATTCAATTTAAGGATTGAAACTTACCCCCATTTCATTTGGTAAGCTTAGTACCAGTACCATCCAGAGAAGAAAAACAGAACATCTGTCGAAATTTTTTGTGTGATGAACTACTCTAAACTATTGTTAGATATTTTCTTTTATTAACATCTGCACCACAACTACATGTTGTGTTCTTTGCTTCATTTGTTAATTCATCTTCTCCAGAACCTTGTTGCATGGTAAAAGAAAACTGAATGATATGGTCAAAGAGGAATTTGGGTTGCTTGTACCACCCTATCATGACTTGTTCATGACTAATTATGTTCTCCAAAAGCTGATCTTGCAACTAAAGCTCTTTTAAAGCAGAAGGCAAGCCAATTTCAGCCATCCAAATGATATTCAACTGTGTTGAAAAGGCTTTTGGGAGGAAAAAAATTCAAAAGCATTTTGCAGAAAAGTCAAAAGCATTTAGAGGAGAAGTCAATGGCATTTTATTTAATCAGAGGGTCTTAAAGAAATTCTTTTGGGTGATTTTATTGAACTCCAAAAGATGCCTTTCTTAGATCCTATTTACAATAAAGTAACGTACTCTATATCACCACCCACCTATACCCTAGGAGTTCTTTACCCTTTCTCAAACACATAATCTCTCTAACTTTCATAATTCTTTTACAAACTCTCAACGTAGTTTAATCTTACCACATTGGCAAATGAACAAGAAAATTGCGATAAGAGAGGAATCTTCTAAGAAAGAAGTGTGAATTTATGATTTATTTTTGTTATCATGCATTTTAGTTCCAGGTTCAAGCATTATTCAACCAACCAAGACCACATTATGCATGGACACCAGAAATCAGACATATCTCCTCCATATGCTCAATCGATGTCCACAGTCGCTCAGACGTATCATGCTTGTCCATTTATAAGCAACTTAATATATTTCATTTGTTCAACCTCGAACGGAACAAGTTCAAACACAGAATTAAGAAAACCCATACACATCTGATATCATATTTTTATTATCTCACTCGTTCTAATGAACATAAGACCACCAAAAAGTTTGAAACAAAAGAGTGAAAAAAACAAGCAGACCTTAAGTCTAAGGTCGTACCCAGTGCACAAGGCTCCCGCTTTAAGCAGGGTCTGGGAGAGGTGAATGTCGGCTAGCCTTACCCCCATTTATGGAGAGGCTACTCCCAAGTCTCGAACCCGAGACCTACCGCTCATGGGCGAAGGCAGTTGCCATCGCACCAAGTGCGACCTCTAAGCAGACCCTAAGTCTAAACAAACTAATTATATTCATAAATTCAGTTCTAGGGAATTCCAAATGTCAAGAATTTAAGCCACAAATCAATCAGAAACTTTAAGCTTTAAGGTGGAGATTACTCTGGTTTAGAGAGAAATTGGTGGGTTGAAATTTTGAAGAGCAACATATGGTAGTGGATTAGTTGAGCACTTTTGATATTGGGTTAGAAAAGTAAACATAAAATTGTAAAAGTTGATCAGAAAGAAGCATTATGTCTAACTCTCTTTATTGTTGGTTTTATATATACCCAACAACTCTAAAATTATTTATATGCATTATGTCCAACTCTCTTTAATTCAATGTTTCCTATTTTTACTCTGATCTCCCTTCTTTTATTATATTTTTTAATGTTATATTATTCTTTTTTTCAAGTCTTTCTATTTATCCTTATTTCTCTTTTAATATATATATATATATATGCATTTACTTAAGTAGATGCTTGAATATTGAATAATTTGATTGCTTGATTAAACTAGGTCATGTGAGTTATACTTGCATATAATTTGTGCACTTTTCAAAGACAATGAATATTTGTTTTACAAAGTATTATAATATATACATATATATAATATATAATATAAAGTATAAAAACTAAGTCCTCACGCCTCAAGGCTTTCGCCTAGACGGGGCTATCCATCAAACGCCTCACTCACGCCTTCGCCTTTTAAAACATTAGAAGCTTGAGTACCATAAGACTATAAGAGGAAAGTATAACTCTAATGCAGAAAAGGAAGTCAGAAAAATATGCAAGATTGTGATTCAAAACTCCTTATAGAACAATTCTTTTCCCAGTGGATGGGAACATACCAGAATATGTCGGGTGGTCAGGAAGATGTCTCACTGCTGAAATTTGAATGTTAACTGGAAGAAGACAGTTGCAGAAAGAACCTGAAAATTAAGAGAAACCTTTACTAAGAAAAAGGAAAAGCTCATTAAACATTTGTGGTCCCGCCGAGGGTATAGAATCTATGGGCACACAGAGCCAAGTCAATCATATAATAATCACACAATTGTGCATTTATAATCCGAAACGAGGATATGTCATTCATTTACAAGGTCTAGAAAACCTAATGTAATTCACGTAGCGTGTAGGTCTTGTGAGTATTGAAGTAGAGTATCTTACTCTCACCTACTCGGGCTAGCCGATTTACCCATCCAGGTATAGTTTTTCCAGTTAGCCGCATACAAACTTCATCAGTGAAATGGTTGCAATTCTTGGCAATTAAATGATAGGTATCTCCATGATACTTTCCAGAAAGGTTCTCCATAAACGACCGGAATTCTGAGCGAGACATATCAGTGCTGCCCACCAGGACGGACTTTCTGAAGATGAAGCCAGGACAACTTCTTGGTTCTACCTCAAAAACCCCACTGCTGGGGTACTCATGGGCTCCAAAGCCATACTCCAAGCCATGAACTGTAAACGAAAATAGGTGGAACTTTGTCATGCTTTCCAACTACAATTTTGTATAACTGCCAGTGGGATGCCGTCAAACGCCTCAGTGCAAAATAAAGAAAAACTACGAGCAAAACATCAACAATAATAAGTAAATGATTCTACAAATCCAAGAAGTAATGTACTTTTCTAAGATTTCCATTCCAGCTTTCTGACATTTAGCTACTCGTGGTTCAAGAAACATTATACCTAAATTCAACAGATAATTATTATATGTTCTGCAATGATATAGCTGCAATAACCCTTTATGTGGGTTGATGATTCACACAAATTAAAAGTTCTGTATAATATATCAGTTAGAATATTTTGAGTATTGTTTGGCCACACATGTAATCTAGGCTGCAATGTACTTAGCGTAATAGATCTTTATGTGAATGATTATTTCTGACATCCCTCATTGAGTTGGACTTTTAGTTAGATATGGCATAGTAATATTAACTCTCTCTCTAATAGGGGTGGCGGATTTGGACTGTATTAATATAGGTTGGGTCCCTAATGTCATAACTACATGTTCAATACAGAGCTTGCCCTATTGTATTGCTTGAAGCCTTGAACATGCAGAAATGCAGAGAGGAGGAGACTATCCCAAAGGCTCTATTCATCATGGCTGCCACCAGGTGAGTTTACATACCTCAATCCTGATTGCTCCATTTCGTACTACATTGTAATCTATAGGTTGTTACCTATCTGCATATTTATGATTTGACGCTTTTATTCGACAAGCACCATTGCAGACTTACTATATTCTAGTAAGGAACATATAAAACTTACAATTCTCTCATTAAGTAATCCTACTTTCTTAATCAGCAGATTTGTGGAGTTGTGTAACAAAATGGTACTTTTTTTTCTTACTTCACACTTACGAGAAGAAGAACTGAAATTTCATCTTCCTCAGTTACGGATGCAAATATCAAATATTGTTTCAATAAAGTTCCATTAATACTCTAAAGTACTAATCTTTACCTAAACATGTGTCTCATTATGCATATGAACGTATAAACGCAGTTTCCATTTGTGACAAAAAAAGATTTCTTAGAGAGGCACATCAATGTTCACAAGCTGTTTTAGGTTTCATTCCATCCCATGATTATCTGAAATCTTCAGTAGAAACGTTATAATTGTTTGAAATCTTGTCAATAATAAATTAAGCAGCATGCTTTCGGACGCAAGCACTCTCTTCTATTTACCATTTCAGTCACTCTTTTCTTACAAAACACCAGCACAGTCTAACAACACAATACACTGTAGAAATTCCTCAAAATTCATAAAATGCATCACAATAAACCCAAATTAACCACAATTAAACAGCAATAACACCTAAAATGAACATAAAACACTCAAAATTCAAACTTCCTTGCATCACTCAAAAACCCGAAAGAGGCACAAAAATCCCAAACCTTCTATGCCGGAGTGGAAGATCCCGAATCCAACCCAGTAAAGGTAGTTGTTCACAGGCGTGAGATCGTAGACATTGAGGTACAAAAGGGCGCGATTTTTTTTCCGATCAGTGAGCTCCTTGTCTGCTCTGGCGGTCGAGCTTGGGCTTGAGCTCAAAGGAAACAACCGCATTGTATATTGAGTCACTCGTAAACCCTAATCTCCTCAATTGAGTTCGGAAATTAGCACAACCTGATCATCCCGCTCGCCGATCAAAACGAACCTCGGCACAAAGTTATTCCGCCGTTTGGATGCCGAGAAACGGGAGGAAGATTGAGAGAGAAAATATGGAGTTTCAGGAGAAATATCAAAAGTATATTTTAAAACGACTTTTTGGTTATTGGTTGTGTGTAGTTTGTACGTTGTTGTCTTGTGGAATATCATCAAAAATAAAATTTACCATTTTCTTGCCGACATTCCGTCCTGCATATAAATTTGGGATTTATAACTTAGATCGATACGACAAATATTTATTGACTTTTTTTTATTAGCACCCCACAGTTAAATACATATCATATTCAAATTTGATATTAAATGACTTATACATTTTACTATGCAATACCAATTTTGACCTTATTAGGTTTTAAAAAAATAATAAAAAATTTCTTAATAAATCCCAAATCACTTTTAACGTATTATTTACCCACAGTTTTTTGTCTTCCCAACAAATGCAAGGAAAATGATGAAACTGCAGGATTAGAACTTGAATGGAGTGCGAAGAAATTAACGATATTTCCTTATGTATGTCGTCTCACGGCATAACCCCAATTTAAAGAAATGATAATAGTAATAAAATGGCTAAACACAATCTCTGTTCTGCAATTCAACACCAATAAATAAATTTTTTTTTTTTTTCATACATCTGAAAATGCAATGAAACTACATCAACATTCAACTAAGTTTTTGCCAATCTGGGCAAAAGTCCTAGTGCCATTCACATTACAAGAGACCCTCTGATTGTTCTCCTTTCCTTGCTGCTTTTACCCTCGAATTTTTGTCATTAAACCTCAGCGTATTACCTCGTCTGCCACCTTCAACAGAGTCTCAGCAGCCTCATCTTCCTCCAATCTTAATTGTGATTGAGTACTATAAGATGTGAAGAATGTGTGGTGTATAAAAAATGTGGGGTGTATATAGAAAATGTAAGGTGTATGTTGAGAATGTGGGTGGGAGGGTAATATGGGGAAGTAAATAGGGTGTATTAAGATAAATTTTAATTGAAAAAGTAAATGTATGGTGTATTAAGTATGTGAGGTTTATTCAACAATATGTGGGGTATAAATATAATAAGCCATATTTATTCGGCTGCTTTATTTTTCTCTATCGTTACTTAACAGTAATACGCATACACATTGCCTCTTAAATAAAAGGTTGCAAGTACTTTTAAAATAGTTGAAATTGTTTTTAGAACCAAGCTTTAATAAATGGTAAGTAAATCTTGAAATGTTATTTTATTGCTTTATGCAAAAAGCACATAAAAAAGCACTGATTTTATATACTAAAAAAATTTTCTCTAAAAATGTTTTCGGTAATGTTAAAAGTTTACAAACCAACCCCTAAACTATTAAATGAGTTTGACTTAATCTTCTATGATCACAAATTTTATAATTTAAAATAAAACAATGATATAAGATGATGAGTAAAAATATTTTCTATTTATTCACCTTTGAAGAATAAAAATTGATCAACAACTACTCAGTAAGTACCACTCGTAAGCCTTGGAATGAAAATGAACATCTTACCACTTTGGCTTCTAATTGATTTTTGGGAAAAGACACAAAATGGCGCAGTCCATTGTTTGGCTTCCTTAACTCTCACTAGATTAGACTGGACTATAATCCAGCGTTTGTTAGATACTAGGATTATGTTTAATGAGACTAAAGGGGACTTGTGTGGACTAACAGGCTCGCTAGAAGTTCTTAGCGAGAGCTCTCGAAAAGGAAGGGACTAGCTAAGACCGTCTTCCTTCTCTACTCCCTTCCGTCTCTTCCTCCTCCAACAAGACCTATATAACTGCACCACCTCCAACCGTCGTGGGCACAGATCGCTGCCAATGGTCTCCGTTCTAACCCAAATCATGGGATCTTTGTGAACCCAGTGGTGGGTGAGGATCACGACAACTATTGAAACCCAAATCATAGAATCCTTGTGAACCCAGTGATGGGTGAGGAACACGACGTCGATGAAGGAATATTGGAGGCCAAAACGTCCGCGCCCACAACAACAACGAAAATGGCAAAGGTCTTGGATTAGGATGACAGCGGCTTGGGATCGTCGGTGATAAAGATGGGGTAAGCAACCTGAGATGCCAAATTGTGGAATTGGTTTTGATTTAATCTCAAATTGTGGAATTTAAAATTGTTGGGAGTTGATTTTGATTTGATCTGTAATTGCGGGGAGTTGGTTTTTATTTGATATGTAATTGTAGCAAGTTGGTTTTGATTTGATCTTAAAGTGTGGAATTGGGTTTCAAAGAAAAGGAAGAGTTTTCAGGAAAAAATAGAGGAAAAAATGAGAGAATTAAGAATAAAATATTAATAGAGATTTAGATAAATTAATATAATATTAGAATTTATTAATTATCCTGCTTCTTAGTCCGACACTGCATTAAACGTTTCACTAAGTTAGTCCAGCTTAGTCTATTCTAAGGCAGTCCAGCTTAATCCTTAAAGCTAGTTTAGTCCAAGATAGTCTGGTGCAATTAACACACCCTAAGTGGTCTACAATTCTTACATGACTAACTGAAATACCAAAAGCACCCATTCGCTGAGATACATTAAATGTCGTAAACACCCTTGAACAACTAATTTAAAATATAAGAATACCCGTCATGGTTTTTTTTTTTTTTTTTTTTTTTGTTGAGTACATCATTATTTTTATGGCTTAAATGTTAAAATGGTCTCTATGTTTTAGTTATTGGGTCAATTTAGTCCTTGTGTTTTCAATTTGGTACTTCTATTTATCTTCGTTAGCTAATTAAAGACATTTCCATCTAATTTCTGTTAAATTTTTTATAAATTCTTATAAACTTATTTACAAAATTATTTATTTGATTTAAAATATTTAAAAAAGAAATAAAATTAAAAATTAAAAGAAAAATTATTCTTCTCCTAACTCCCCGACCTCCTCCCTACCTTTATACTAAAGGGAAGGGTTTAGCCATACAAGAATACCCTTCATTAATTGGCATTTGTTATGATATTACATTAAATATCGTAAACACCCTTGAACAACTAATTTAAAATACTAGAATACCCTTTCTTAAATGGCATTTGTGATGCCATTAAAACCCTTAGTTAAGGGTTCTGCCGTCTCTAACCAACCTGTGAATAGTAGCAGAAACTGAACTTGTTCTGCAAACTATTAAGGGAATTGCATAGAACTGAAAACCCATTCTAGGTTAGAAATCAGGTGGGACGAGCACACATGGGTTGATCGACTTAGGGGCAATGGGGTTAGCTGACCTTCTGAACTCCGATGAATCTCCATGGATGACTTAAGTGCTGCTCTTTTGAAGGTTGGAGTTACCCTTCATATATGCCCTCCAACTGCTTGATAAAATGCAATAGAGAGGTGATGCCCCTTTACAGTCTAGTGCTAATATAATTTACTTCTGGTTTGTTTGTTGGTTATGATTACAATTGTAGGAAGAAAAAAAAGAACTAAGTAAAAGACTATCCAAAAATGCAAAATAAATGAAGTGGTAATCTCATAGAATGAACAAAGCATTATCATTCTTGGATAAACATACTAATGGGATGCAATGATATCAATCAATTTGTTAGTGTGTTCAAGATAAGTGTGTTCCTTTGTTAAGCATTTATATGGTAGCAGCCTTGGACATGTTAGTTACCCACACAAAGGAGGCATTAACAGGTGTACATGATGCCTTTGCAAATGACTTTAGGCCTACCAAGACTCAAAGAAATGGCGATATGCATGTTATTTCTGTTAAAAAAAATGTGTGATGCGTGCTATTCTTATTGACCACCCTAATAATATTTCCTAGATCTGCCACTGTGAGCACATACACTTCATCGCCAAGGAGCAAAATTGCACTAGGTAGACATGACAGGTTAACAGAAGTCGAGTTGATTAACACTAGTTGTGGATAAGGCAAATAAGTGTGGACCACGAATTTTTTTTTAGGTGGAGTAAGGCGAATCAAAATACAAATGACTTCTAAATCTCGTTATGGACTAACCAACTTCGATTAGGTTGGGTCATACAAAGGGGACCAATGGTGCGACTACACCCCTATTGGACTCCGGAATGGTTGTCTAGGATCGCAAGTCTTGACGACGAGCCCATGCTTGCTCCGCAAGACATGGAGGCTTGTTCCGACAAACTCGTTTCCTATTTCTTGGAGATTCTTGCAATCTTGGAACAACGTAAATCCGACCATGAATCTGTAAGAAAGTAAAGAACACAAGATGTATCGTGGTTCACCCCAATGTTTGGGCTACGTCCACACTGATGTTGATATAAGTTTCACTCTGAATGAGGAATATACAAGAAGGTTAGAGGCAGTGTGCTCTCTAGCCTATTTTCTGTGGCCTAAGCCTTGCCCTCGATCTTGGCCCAAAACTTGGCATGCCCAAATGAGAAGGGTGAGGAGTCATTTTATAGGATAAAGGCTCATCACTTATTACATATTTGCCCCTTCATTTATTATATAATTACATTTGAGTCCTCTGAGTATTTATACGAGATCTAAATACAGAGGCCCTAAGTATGGTACAAACAGTAGTACCCCAAGTTTTCAGTCAAAAGAGTCTTTTGGCTGGAGACTTGAAATTCAGTCCATGTGTGGGCTGAAGTAACTAGATGTCGTCTAGAATTGATACTCAATATGAGGCAGTGCTCAATGTGAAATGATGTTCAATTAGAAGTAGCACATGTTGCAAGATTGCTCGGCTTGTGGCTTATGTTGCCTTGGTTGGCTCGACTTGTGGCTTATGTTGCTTTAGTTGGCTCGGCTTGTGGCGTTTGAAGGTGAGGGAGTCCCTTTTATAGAATAAGGGCTCATTCCTCAATACATAAATGGTGGGCTAGAGTTGATACTCACGGCAAGGCGGTTGCTCAGTTGGCAGTGATGCTCTCTAATGATGGTGATGAAGTCCCTTTTATAAAATAAGGGCTCGCTTCTCAATACATAAATGATGGGTTAGGAGTGATGCTCGCGGCGTGGCGGTTGCTCAACTGGCGGCAATGCTCTCTAATGATGGTGAGGGAGTCCCTTTTATAAAATAAGGGTTCGCTCCTCAATACATGAATAATGGGTGCTCTCTAATGAAAGTGAGGGAGTCCCTTTTATAGAATAAGGGCTCGCTCCTCAGTACATAAATAATGGGCTAAGTCCCCC